CAAGAGGCAGCTGCTGGCCCCGATCTCCCCTCAGGAGCAGGGGGAGGTGGAGAAACCCTGAGGGGCGATTGGGGCCAGCAGCCGCTGCTCACATCAGCTGATGGCACTGAGAAATCAGGGCTGGCGCTGGGCACCGGCAACGGGTGTGAGCGGTGGCTCTGGCACTGGCAGCGGGTGTGAGCGGGGCTGGCACCGGCAACAGGGGCGAGGACCGGGCGGGACTGCAGCATGCAAGAGCAAAGAATTTTTAGTAACCACCAGAGGCTCGCCCCAATGACAGCCGCCAGCGCCCCACTTTGGTCTGGAGCCCCTGCTCACCTGCTCCACCATCCCACCACACCCGATGCCCACCATGTTCTGCGTGTGCTCCCTTGTGGTCAGTGCACATCATAGCAACTGGTTGTTCCAGTCTATTTGCATATTAGCCTTTTATATATAGAGATATAGACATTTTTGGCTACTTCCAGCTCCCTTGTCTTATGTAAATGCAACTGTTGCTGCTCCTGCACCTGGCTTCCTTGTTTTATGGAAATGTGACTGCACCTGGCTACCTTGTGTTATGGAGATGTGCCTGTTGCTGCTTCCTTGTGTTATGGAAATGTGAATGCAACTGGCTACCTTGTGTCATGGAAATGTGACTGCACCTGGTTACCTTGTGTTATGGAGATGTGCCTGTTGCTGCTTCCTTGTGTTATGGAAATGTGAATGCAACTGGCTACCTTGTGTCATGGAAATGTGACTGCACCTGGTTACCTTGTGATATGGAGATGTACCTTCTCCCAATCTGTAGCCCTGTGTTTGTCCATGGACCCCAATTCTAAATATTCCCTAAGCTGCTTATATTCCCCTAAGATTCCTGTTCCATTGAGGAGGGCAGTTTCCACTACCCCGTGTTTTCTTTCCCCTGAGCAAGTGTTGCTGTAACTGGGCAAACAATGGGTCCGTGCTGCCTGCCACTCCTGGAGCCAATGAAGCAGAGACAGGGCTGAATCACAGATGAGCATTTATCCCAGTACTGCCCGCAGTATGAGAGAGCAGCAGGTCAGCCACAGAAATCTGCTCTGCACCCACCATAAGCCAGTTGCTTACATAGCAAAAGCACAAAGGCAAAAGGGCAGTTTGCAGATATGCAAAAGGACTAGGGGTCTTCAAAGGGCTTAGCGCTATGCAAGGGTTGGGGTTACACAGGAAATAGCCAGAGGGGGTGCCAGATGGGCAGTTAACAGGTGAGCAGGCTGGAGGTCTGCAAAGCCTGCAGGTGTGCAAAAGGGCTGGGGATCTTCAAAGGGCTGGCGATTCTGGTTTCTGCAACAAATCTTTGTGAATCTTTCCATGATAACAGGCAGCTCCAAATGGGGAGAAAGGGCTGCACCCCCAGGTCAGCTCCAGCCAGGGTAGAATGTGCCTTAAAGGGCTGCACCTTCAGGTCAGCTCCAGCCAGGGTAGAATGTGCCTTCTTTAATCAGAATAAAACAATCATGGTTAACAGAGCACGATTAATATTTCTTACAATACTAGCCGGTTCCCAAATTCTATTGCTGCCCCCCTTTCATTGCTACATCTCTGAAAGCCACCAAAAATCCTGTGACCTCTAGAACTTTTAAAAAAATATTTTTATTGATTTCAGAGAGGAAGGGAGAGAGAGAGAGATTGAAACATCAATGATGAGGGAGAATCATTGATCAGCTGCCTCTTGCACGCCCCACATTGCAGATCGAGCCTGCAACCTGGGCATGTGCCCTGACCCGGAATCTAACGCAACCTCTTGGTTCCCAAGTCAGTGCTCAACCACTGAGCCACGTGGGCGGGGCCCTCTAGAATTTTTGGATCACCTTTCCAGGATGCAATACGTTCACAACCCAAGCTGCGAAGGGGCAGTGCCTCCCGCCGGAGCCCGCTCGCCTCCGGAGCGTCGCCCAAGCCTTAAGGACGCCAGAGTCCTGTTCACACTTGTCGGCCAAAAGCTCCAGAGCCCGTCTTACCGGCTGCCCCTCCCTTTGCCTCCTCCTCGTTTAAACCAGGGCACCGCTGGTCCCAGGCGCACTCGTTCCTGCCCTCCTGTGCTCTGGCGGCGCTCCATGCGGGGGCGGCTCCGGGAGCGCC